TTTGCAAACATATGCCCAAGTCCCTCAGTATGTATGCAAGGCGTGGGTGTATCCAAATAAGCCTTTAAGCCCATCATGTTCCTGTTTTGTGTCTGCAAGTGAAACAAGTGTTGGATGTGAGGGGCCAAGTTTGTTTTTTGCAGTTCGACATTTGGTATGGGATCCCCCTTTACATCTTCCTCAATGGAAGACAACTTGGAGTCTCGTCTTACCGCAGGAGTGCCTGGGCCAAGCGTCGGTGAGCTGCAGCGTGGAGAGGCGAGGAGTCCGCACCCTCGTTCAGCACACGGAGGGCTTGCGTGTCAAAAGCACACCTCCCTAAACATGACCCTGCTTGGGGGTTAAAAAGGGAAGCCAAAAGGAAACCCGAAGCCATTTTTTGTGGCCCCCTATTTGGACAAAAAGCCACATTGGAGCTGGAAATACCTGGAACTTTATTCATGCTGGCATTTGGTTTTCTGGGGAAGACTCCAGCCCCTGCCCCTCAATGTAGGGGGGGATGGTGAAAAGATTGTCTGATTTGTTGGCCTTGATGACCAGCGAACTCTTTCATAATTGTCCACTTTGGTATCGCGGAAAGGGTTACTTCCCACAGCAATGTTCCTCAGTCAAAGCTACTCGCCTTCTCCGCAGGCATGCTGCGGTGGGGGGCATGCTGCTGGAGGCTCTTGTGGCGCACGTTGCCCAGCATTGCACCCAGAAGGCCGGCTACCGACTGATGTCCATGGCCAACAGCAGAATGGCCGTTGTTCACCTTGATTTGAAGTTGAGTTTTGAAGACCCTCCCAAATGCTAGGGGGACATGAATATTTTATTGCCTAGTAGTGGTTGCAATGTTTCTTGTGTAGTTGGACTTGTACGCTGCAGTGCATGTGGTTCCCGTTCTCCGCGCTAGGCTTACAGAAAACAACGGACACGTTATTCAAGTGAAAAGCTGATATTCTTGCGCAGCAATCGTACTGACTAAGGAACTTGACATCACCCACTGTTGCTTATGATTGTCGCGGCATTGAAGAAGACCGATAATTTCCATGTGCATGTGTGCACACAGATTCGCGCGCACAAGCACAAACACCAACACATGCATGTATGCTGCATGTATGTTGCATGTGCCCCTTTGTGGAGTTTCAATTGTTTGTCCCTACCCTACCCTTCCTTCCATGGATCCACAATTCAGGCGCCTGGCCTAGCCCAGCTCTTCCAGCTGCTGGAGAGGGGGAGGGGGGGGTACACCTTCATATGTGCTGTGTTTTCTTTGCTATTGGCTGTTGCACCCTTTCCCTGTCTCCTTTAAGGTACGTGTTGCACCCTTGGGGTGTCCAGACCTGTTTCTTGCCCTGCTTAAGGGCCAACCAAACAAGGACAGCTTAAGCTGTTCCACTAGAAGCCATTGAATAACTCAGTAAGCACCAGGAGTGGCACCAGTATTAAGCCAATACCAAGCAAGACTTGGCTAGCCGCTACTAAACTGACACTAGACCAAACCAGAACAAAACCAGCATGGAACAGCACTGACCAATCTCCTCCCCCTATTAGTGAATGACCCCCATTAATAATAAATGCAAATCCGGGGCCCAAGACCAGATTTCCACTCCGCACAATTGATTTTCCATTGCGCCAATACTAAACCAATACTAAAGTCTTGGAATCCTTATTAGGGGGCACTTTTAGCAAGCTTCCAGCCTCACTTTTCAAAAGGTGGGTTCCTCAATTCCCCAAGAGGTTGCTTCCCCAAAAGCTGGCTTCCCCAAAAGGTTCGGTTCTTTTGAAACCCACGCTGCCTTCTCGAGCACTGAACTGTCTAGCAGTCAATCACAAACAACCAGTAAACTGAAAAACAAATAGAATGATACATCAAATTTCCTTATTAAACCGCTTACTCGCGGACCTTGCAATTCAGTCCATTTCTTCCAAATCCTATGTGAACCCTCACGTTGTTGGAAAAGCAAAGAAAACCCAATTCCGAAAACCCCCTTTTTTTAAGGTTGGGAGGATTTATTTATAATAGGGGGGGACCCGTATTTATGAATAGGGGGAACGGATTATCTCAAAGACTTCTTCAAGGGACTGATTGTGAACCCCAAATCGACTTGGGTTTTCTCTTGCCTTAGAGCGCACCAAATTAGCTTGGGGGTCCCTTTGCTACTCATCATCCAAGATCATTAGCACCACGCTGGTATAGTTGGGGGGTCATCCGAATCAAGGTTATGATCTTCCTTCGGACTAGAGGTTGATCATAGAAGGGACTCCCCGTTTGGACAAGTCACCGAAACTAGGCTTGGATGTGCCAACAGAAAGCAGTTGTCTACAGTGAATAGCAGGGGGACTTTTAGCATGCAGCTTGCGTTTGGTGACTTTTTCACTACTTCCGGGCAACAGAACCGTCTTTGGCTGCCTTTGAGAGAACCACAAACCAACAATGAAACGAGCGAATTGGAGGCACACTGCTTGCTGGACTCGCTGGTATGACTTTGTCGATCCAAACTGGGTCTCAAAGCGG